ACCAGATTCATATTCAGGATTCTTAACTTATTATACATCTATCATATCTAATCTGGGTATGGTATAAAAGAACTTCCAAGATTAAAAGGTGTATGGTATTTCTGTTCACATTGCTCATAAAAGAGGTTAGGAATATGCTGGTAGCTTCTTACTGTACAGTGATATTTTGTATTCATATGTCAAATCCTTTTTGGTTGCCGTGTAATAATTTTATATGACTAAATTCTTCCACACTAAGTTCGGAGAGAACAGTAAAGAACATGTTGGGGTTTGTGATATTTTCTTGTCATATCATTAAGTTCATTGTAAGTACATCATCACATTGTGCAGTTTGAGTGAGTTAGGTGATCATGATTTATGTAGCAATTCACATTAACAATAGTATATTTTGATGTGTCTTTTGCTAGTGTGTTACTGACTGTGCACAGTGCACAATAAAAAATAATCATCTTGCTTATTTGTGCTTGGTTGTTAGGGTAGCAGGTGGCAAATATTGTTTGATGTTAATGTAGAGTGTCAAAGTTACTGATTGCTGTTGAGAGATTATAGGTTGAAGTGCTTAGTCAAGGTGTAAGAGCAAGCACTCCTTGGAAGCTAAGAAAGGGTTGCTTCTAGATTACAAATCAGTGAAGATGAACAGTGATAGGGATGCTTCTTTGTGTAAAAAAAAAAAATAAAGAAAAGTTTGTTTGTGATCTTAATGCCAGAGTGCATAATACTAAGAGCTAGATTTGTTTTTCTCTCATAAGAGGTCAGAGAGAAATGCATGTTTATTTTATACAAGAAAGCTATATGTTGTATAACAAAGAACTGAAATTCAATAAAAATAATTGTACCTTTCCTTGTTCCTGTTCTTTCTTCCTGCTAGATACTCTATACCTTTTTTATAAACTTAACCCCCCCCTCCAATCCAAGAGAAATAGTGACTAATGTATATTTTTTATCTGTATGTAGTTTGCTGTCTCTGTAACCTGTTTAAAGTCTATGATATGATCAGTACTAATCAAAGTACTATTATAACTGGAGGTTTTATTCTTATGAATCACCTGTTAAATGTTCACACACAATGCTGAAGTATGTATGAAATTTATCTAGCATTGTTGATCTGGTAAGCAAATGCTTCACTGATAAAGGATGAATCCAGTATATATAACATTTGTGTGAGTTTAGAAACATAAAAATTCCAAATGCTCTGATTTATTATCTATTGAACATTTTCTGACTTGCCAGCATCTAAGGTCATTAGCTGCATATTCAAAATATAGCAACAGTGTGAGGCTTGGGGGTAGATCCACCAGATAAGAAAGTGCTATATGACATCAAAGGTCACCTAGTGCTATGGTATAGTACAGTAGTGAAAAGGGTTAAGAATGAGTTAATGATCAGGGTAAAGTTACAGGTTGAACTGTATTAGAGGATAGTATGGTAAAGGTTTTTAGTTTAGTAAGGCAATATTTGTGGACTTCCAGAACCAACCATCAAAGGTTACACAGCATTATGGTAAAGTATTTTGGCAAAAATCGTAAGTAGGAGTTAATGATTTGGATAAGTGGACAGAAGAAGGAAGAGGAGAGGGAGAGAAGAAAAGCCCTTGCAAAATTAGTAGAGGCGAGGGCTGAGGACCAAGGCAGGCGTGAACCCCTACAATGAGCAAGGGACTGGGGGGTAGTAGTGAAAAGGGTAGAGAGGGGGAGGTGATGGGGTATAGTATACAGTTAATGTTGTTGGAAGAGGAAGGAGTTAAGGGAGTAGGGAGCATTATGATCAACATTGTGGCAAAAATGGCAAAAGTGATTCAACAATTTGGATAAGTGGACAGAACAAAAAAAAATGAAGAAAAGGAAAAGGAAAGGAGGAGAAGAAAAGAAATCAATTGTAGCGGGGTCTGAGGGCCAAGATAGGGGCAGACCCAAACAGTGGGCTTCAGTCCCTATCTCCTAAGCCCCCAACGACAACAAGCAAGGGATGGGGGATGCTCTATATTGCTCTATATTGACAATCCTTACTGTAGTCCTAGTTTTCAAGTTTCATGTCTTTCCTCATCCTATTTTAAGATCTTTCTTGTATTTTGTCCCTTCCATCTCTCCCATGCTTCCTCATTCTCCTTTCCTCATAACTCCATTGCTCCCACTGCCTCTTCCTCTCTCAACTTTCTTTCATCTGTCCCAGTTCATTTCTTTTTCATATATTGCCATATTCTCTTGTTCCCTATTTTCTATCTCTATTGCCTCTCCTTCTGTCACATTCTTCCTTTCTTCTTTCCCTTTTTTCTCTCTTACCTCACACTCATTTTCTTACTCCACTATATAACATGATCCCTTCTAAAATTGTCCTTTTAAAATGGGATATAGTATGATAATTAGATTAAATCCAGGAACTCCTTCAGAGGAAATATAAAAAACATTTTTGTATAGGGATGGTGGAAACCATCAATAAACTTTTAATATTGCTGTGATAGAAACTACATATACAATTTGAAATATGCAACACAAATACAGAATAATATATTTTGCTTATGGGATATTATCAGTCACAGCAAAAACAAAAAGGGAATCATTAATGCACCTGAAAAAGTTTCCAAATATTATAATGTTAGACACATAATCACACATCTTTTTGTAGTATATCCACTGTTCAACAAGCAAACAAAATACAGATATAAAATCAAACACACAAGAGATGAGAATCAGAAGTCATATTGTGCTAAAACAACTATCTATTCTACTAGTGATGATTCCCTTACCAATGTATTATGTGCAACTATGGAATACAGTATAAAGCACAATATAAAAATTATGTGGCTCTCTAGATTTCTCATTAGTCAAAGTCTAAGCTATTCTGAAAGGTAAAAGCATAAGAAAAGGTGTCAGATTCTTACTTTTACATGATCCTGAATAGAAAACAATTTCCTTCCTACACATGTATGACACATGCAAGATGATGACAGTATTCAACATGATAAGATGGATACAACTCTCTGTCTTGGGACGAAAAAAGAAAAAAAGGCAACAGTCCCATGACCTCTGAGCCATTACCTATCTTTTCCATAGCACTTTTCACATTCCTACCTTTCCCGTGACACACCCTTTCAACTTGACCATCTTTTTCTCCCAAACAGTCTTCATTTAGTCCACTCTCAAGACCTAAAAAAGAGAGGCTTCCCAGATTACTCCAGCTGATATGGACAAGTTGTAGCATCATGTAGATCACCATGATATGCACAATCGATACATAATATAACTACATCTTAAACATGGACTGTCGGTTAAGTGATGAACTGTTAAGAAATTCATCCTCTCGGAGGATAACAAGGTTCAGGGAATTTGGCAGAAGTTGAAGAAGGTAATAACTGTCAAGTGTCTGGATATCCTCTTTGGCATACGGCAAAGGAGAGTGCACACACTATAGGGAATAGTTGATAAAATGCAAGGATAATATGCATTTTAAAAATATCTTTGGCCAAGCTTCCTTTCCATGTATTTATGGATACAACCTATGTATTCCAACATTTTTTTCATAAGCAACAACTTTGATGGCACATTTAACATTTCTGATCAATATCTGTTTCACATGTTTTAATCTTACAGTCAGAGATTTACTTCAAAAGAGGATTACATGGTATATTATATTTATTGAAATAACTACAAAATTACAAGTGCTTTAAGAACACTCTTTCAGGTCATTAAAAGAATGACTGCTGAATGAACAGTGCTCTTATAGGAGTTCTTTGGACCAGAGTAAGAACACTAGTTTCCGCTTCTCCCTCCTTAAACTCAATCTAAATATTAAAAGTAAACACTGTCTGTAATTTCAAAGAGAGAGGATGCACAAGAATGGTGTATCAAACTTCCCCAAACACATTAAATTCTTAAAGCAATAAAGAATAGGTTTCATGCATCTTCGACCTTGATATTGCCATTTACAAAACGTGATATATCCCTGGGACAAATAATTTACTAAACGTAAACTATTGACGTGTCACAGAGAGAAACAGCTGGGAATGTATAGCTGATCCTATCTGTCTTTTCAGACCATCTCCTCTCCTTCACTATAAGTATATTTGTGCACTGTTAATAATCTCATTATCAGTCATTTTTACTATCATGAAGTTATCGCCTCATCCAACAGTTATTAGCCAGTCTAAAATACCAAAAGTACACTTGATTTTTGCCAACATCTAGCAACAACAACCAACCCTGAGACATTAAGCCTAATGATGTATCTCAATGCTTTTTTTAACACCACGTATCAAAGCCTACTCTCAAAACCATGTTATCTATTAATAACATTAAAATAATGTTACACATAAAGCAGAATCAATGGATTAACCGTTAGGAAAATCATTTTTCTCACTCACTCAATCTGAAAAATTACAGTCAATAAAAATATTCTGATTCAACAATGCATGTTTCCATCTACAAGACTGGCTGCCTCTCTGTCTGGTCTACAGCGCTGTATAAATATTAAAATCATTTGATAGGAAACTATCTTCTGGATATATATATACACATATATATACCTTATAAACAATAGTAATGGCAGTGTTATTGCACATCTATTTCAGTTCATTATAATGTTACACTTCACGATT